CAATAGTATATGACAATAAATAAAATTAACCTAATTTTTTTAAAAAAAAGTATATATAAATATTTATATCTCATTATATTTAATTATACTCTACGTATTTACTACTTTCTTTAAAATTGACAATTGCGTGCGGAGATAGGAGGCGAAAAAAATCGCCATTTTCGAGGTAGCGCCAAGAGCACCCCATGTTCAGCCCCTACCGAATAAGGCCTAGCCTACATTTCTTTTTCAACATCAATCGCAGCACCAATTCGAATCCGCCCACACGCGTTTTAATCGATTGACTAGTGCATACCCCTGGCCCCTGCCCTCGCTTCACGAGTGACCTCCCACTGTAGATTATTTAACCCTCACACCTCCGTAGGTTACCCAACTTGCTCGGAGAAAAAATCTTTATCGATAACAGCCGTCTGCACGGCGTTCCCGCCCATCAGTGACACAACTTCTCATCGACACACCGGAGACATCGATCCATCTCGTCGAATCTGCTCCACGGCCTCACCTCGCTCGACGTCCTTGTCAAGCTCGACCGAACTTGCGATCCATGCGAAACAGCATTGCTCTGCCATTGTCGTCCGCCTGACCTGCCCCGCTCCGATTCAGGTGCCGAAGCTCTCGCCATCCCCGCCAGCGAGAGAGATCGCGGCTTTGGCGGGCCCTCCATGCCCGGCTCTTGTCCAGCTTTTCTATAGCCCCCTACCACCCACCTGCCTGCCACCTACCTAAACGACTACACGTCATGCTGCGTTCGTGCTCCGCTAGACTGTCTGGCCTGGCCAGGCCACACCTGCGCTCCCCCGCTGCGTCTTGGAGGCATCCACATGCCGTCCCCAGGAAAACTACAGTCCGGGCATTCGCAGCTGTCGCCCCTCCCCCACAAGCCCTGGTGCGTCACAGCCCATGGCAGCGCGCTCTGTCGCAAGCCCTCGCCACTGCCCCAGAGTCCCGCAACTACCCCCAATGTCCCAGGGCCCTTGCTAACACAACGTGTCCGTGTAGGAGCCAACAGAATTGGATAATGTCACAACGCTCCCCAATGGCATCCGCGTCGCCTCCGAGGCGCTGCCAGGGGCTTTCTCGGGTGTGGGAATCTACATCGATGCAGGGTCGCGCTATGAGACGGACTACCTGCGCGGCGCCAGCCACATCATGGATCGCCTGGCTTTCAAGTCGACGAGCAAGCACACGGCCGACGAAATGTTGGAGCAGGTCGAGCAGCTCGGCGGCAATATCCAATGCGCCTCGTCGCGCGAGTCCATGATGTATCAAGCTGCCACATTTAATACCGCCATACCCACCACCATCGGCCTGTTGGCCGACACCATCCGCGACCCGAAGCTCACCGACGCCGAGATCTCACAGCAGCTTGAGACGGCGACCTACGAGGTCAACGAGATATGGTCCAAGCCTGACCTAATCCTGCCCGAGCTTGTCCACACTGCGGCTTTCAAGGATAACACCCTCGGCAACCCTTTATTGTGTCCCCAGGAGCGCCTTGATGCCATCGATCGCCATGTCATTATGGCCTACAGGGACGCCTTCTACCGTCCCGAGAGGATGGTTGTCGCATTTGCTGGCATCCCACATGCTGACGCCGTAAATCTGACAACCCAGTACTTTGGCGACATGAAGGGCTCATCCATTCCCCAGCCCGAAAGCCCAACCGATTCTGTCTCTATCCAGCAGCAACAGCAGCAGCAGGCTCATGGGTCCTCGACCATGTCGCCGCACTCGCCACCACCGTCTGGTCTTCTTTCTAAAATACCTTTCTTCAAAAGCCTATCTACCTCGGCTCCCCATAATGCTTCCGTCACTACGCCGTCTGCGCTTGGAACCAATCCTATCGCCCCCTTATCTCATTCTCCGTCCCACTACACCGGCGGATTTCTCTCTCTTGCCCCCCAACCGCCGCCCCTAAACCCAAATCTGCCGACCTTTACGCACATTCAGCTAGCCCTCGAGGGCCTTCCGATTCTAGATGACGACATCTACGCCCTGGCCTGTTTGCAGACCCTTCTGGGAGGTGGTGGATCCTTCTCTGCTGGCGGTCCGGGCAAGGGTATGTACTCGCGGCTCTACACCAACGTTCTCAACCAGCACGGTTGGGTCGAGTCGTGTGTCGCCTTCAACCATTCCTACACAGACTCGGGACTCTTTGGCGTTGCGGCCTCGTGCTACCCCGGCCGCACCGGCAAGATGCTCGAGGTCATTTGCCGTGAGCTCCGCGCCTTGACTCTCGACTCGGGCTTTCACTCCCTGGGCAAGGTGGAAGTTGAGCGTGCAAAGAATCAGCTCAGGTCCAGCCTCCTCATGAATCTCGAAAGTCGCATGATCGAGCTCGAGGACCTCGGGCGCCAGGTCCAGGTTCATGGCCGCAAAGTGCCCGTACACGAGATGACGCGGCGCATCAATGCCCTTACCGTTGACGACCTGCGCGCCGTTGCCCGCCGAATAGTCGGCGGCCTGGTCGAGAACCCGGGCAAGGGCAGCGGCGCCCCCACTGTTGTTCTCCAAGAGGCTTCGGTGGCCGGCATCACCACAAAGCAGATGACCTGGGACGAGATCCAGAACACCATCTATCAGTGGCACATTGGAAAGCGCTGAAGTTGACGCCGACTGAAGGCGGCAATGCACCGAGTCTTCAGCTCCGAGTGCTTACTTGCCAAAATCAATATGGCGGTATCACATCCCAACTGGCATCCTTTGTGCCTGATGGTCACCGAGCAATGCCATGTTCATCGTAGAGCGCATCCCTTGGTGATCTTCTAGCCGCTTTGGTTCCTCATCTCCGGACGACTGCAATGCCCTCGGGACGTGTATAACTACAAATGTGTATCAACGTCATGCAGAAAGCATGTGTATTAAAGGTCCACATATACCTACTTGGATCATTGGTATATGGGTCTATTGTCGCATAAATATAAATCTAGAGATGGCATGCAAGATATCGTTAGACCTCGTCTACAGCCTGCTCACGCGCATGACGGTTTCTATGGCTTGAGGCTGGACAGAACAGACACGTGTGCGATGTGTGAGAATGTACCAAAGTCAAAGTCTTGGATAATGCAACGGCGCGCCCACCACAAAAAGAAAAACGCAGTTCATTTGAGGAATAGGATGAGGATTAGTTACGGAACCAAAAATAAAAAAGAAACTTGAAAATACGAATAAAAATAAGAGTAAAAACAGGAATAACAATAGGAACGAGAAGAGGAAAAAAATAAGAATAGAAAAGCTTACGGCACCAACAATTTCACTCAATCTTTGGGACCTCCTGTAAGACTGCCTGTCGTATTTTTTTGTGGTGGGCGTAGACGGGTACATCGATTATCATTTTGTTGATGAAGCCGGATCCCATATCTCATACCGTCTAGAAGCGAACCTTGTCGCCATGCTCTCTCCCCAGTAACAAAAGGCTGCTTGAGATGAAAAACGAAAACGCAAAGAAACAAAGAATGTATGAAGAACGCCGTAGACCCTCCCACCAAATGCAACTTTACGCGGTTCGCCAGGTAATGTACGAATGTCTTCAAAGTAACGAGACCGTCTATCCGTCTACAACTTGGACCGGACCGCTTCCAGCCTGTACTTGACGTCCTTCAGGGGCTTGGTGACGGGCTTCCAGTTGTCGAACTGCGCCAGAAGCTCCGCGACCTCGGACGAGAGCTCTGTCCTGGCGAGGTCTTCCTCCAGCAGCCCACGCATAATCCATGGCAGGTGGTACGGATTGGGGTTGGTGATGCCCTCATGTCTTCGGATCTCGCAAGGCACTCGGCCAACGTCGCTGGTCTCGAGGGCGTGCGATATGGCAAGGCTGCGCGTGTGAGGCAGACCATGCCCAACGTCAGAAACGGACAGGTTTGGGCGGCCATGCACTTGTATGTGGGCGGCTATGGTGGACTTACTCGTAGACCTGTGGGTCATCGTACAGGGTAGAATGGCCGGCACCCGAGTACAGTGACCCAGCGAGTGGTACACTCAGCTCCCGGATAAGCCCATGGTCGGAAATCCCCATATTGCGTAGCTTGAGCGCAAACCCGACCAGGTGGGCAATGCTGCAGGTTCAAGTATCAGCGACAGTTCATGACATTGGACCGAGAAGAGAGCAGCGCCCATGTATGGCTGTAACCCAAGGCATATGGGGTTTGGGCTTGAAATTGGTTCTTACAAGTCTGGAGCATGCACCCTAGCGTCACTGAGGAAGTCGAGATGTTAGAATGCACGGGCGATATGATCCTTGTTGATACCCGAGTCTTCACAGGAACGGAAGAGGAAGCTTACACAAAAACTGCCCTATAGAGAAGTGGGTGGCTCGCCGACGAGTAGAGGGCAGACTGGAGACTCGGTTGTTAGTGAAAAAGAAGAAAAGAAAAAAAAAAAAGCGCACGATATCGCGGGGGAGATATGATCACCCACCTCAAGAGGCACGACCTGGTCGTCCATGCTCCCAATGTACGTAACCCGCGCTCCATGAGCTAGTACGGCTCTGAGCGACGCCTCTAGGCGCCTCGACACTTCGCTTTCGGGATTTGCAAATTCCCATAGCTCGGCAGCGGACCCCATGAGCATGCCCATCCCCGACTGGTAGCTCGGAAAGGGCCCAAGAGATACACCCGCTGTGGTTGTGTCGGGTGTTAGTTTTAAGCAAAGAGGTATGCGTAGTGAATGGGACGGTAGTGGAGAGTCGGCCAGTGAGACGTAAAGCAGAGCAGACTTATGCTTACCCATTGCGCAAATGCCAATCCTCGATGTCGTAACGATTCCGAGCTCAATGAGCTTAGCGACCAGCATGACGCCGACGGGGACTCCCTGGGAATGGCAAGCAACCATGATAAGATCTGCCTGTCGGATGAGGTCGATCCAGTTCAGGAGAAGCTTCCAAAGGTTCTCGACCCGGTCTCCGATCTTGCCTTCACCCTCCAGCGCCACCTTTTCTATCTCGCACCCCTCACACCCGTGGCTATCAGCCCACCGCCGGATGCTGTCAGCGCAATGATTGGCAAATTTGATTGATGTGCCAGTGGGCTGCCCTATCATGGGCCGCAGGTAGGTAGCTGGGAATAAACCATGCACGCCGATGGCAAGCGCCTTTTTGATCTTTGGCGGCTCTCGGGCAAGGAAGACGTGGTTAAGCGGCGGTGGTTGTTGAGTGCGGAGAAGGAACTGCGTAATTTGGCGTAGGATGGACGGGTTTCCCTTCATTCGGTACGTCGACCTAAACGACGGAAGCAAGAGGTTTGCGCCAGAGTTCTTGGCGGTACTGTCAGGGGTCTGCGTAGCCGATCTGATACTGGCCGAGTCTGCTGCCACCGAGGAAGTCGAGGCTGGTGTACTAGGTCGAGCTCCGGGCTCATCAATATCCATGGACTGGGGTCGAAGTCTCTTGGGCTTCTTGCCCGCGTCCTTGGTATGAGTTACAGGCATTGGTTCTTTTACAATAGGTGTGGTGATCTTGACCTCGGCATTGCTTGCTGGCTGAGGATGAGCTTCCGAGCCCTGCCCCATCACGGCAATCTCTCCAGGCTCACGAGCCGAGGTGTCTGCAGTTCCGGGCTTACTCTTGGTGTCTCTGGACCAAAAAGCCCAAGTAGACCCGGCAGGTTGCGCCTGTGGTGAAGTCACTGGTGCATCTGGAATGGCCACGTCTTCTTGCCCTTTTGCTGGCTCTGCGTCGACTGCAAGTTGTGGCGTTGGCCCGTCGTCCTTGTTGGCGATATCTCGTTCATCAGTTGGGTCTGGCTGTTTGGTAAGCGTCCGAGCCGGCCAAAATCCAAACCACGACGAGCCAGTGGGCTCTGGGAGCGATTGGGAAGCCGAGGGCACTACATCGCCCAAGCTCGCTGACGCTTCCTGCGCATCACCGGTTTTAGGGGCAGCATGCTCATCCTTGGCCTGTTCTTGTTCTAACAAAGTATCGGGCTTATTAGGCTCTGGCGTTGCGGGCTCTAGCGAAACTGAGACATCCGTTACGGTTGGCCTGCCCAACCAGCCAAGCCATCCAGAAGATGTCACCGGCTGCTGTGGGAGCTCAGCAGTAGTGGCCTGAGAAGCGCGTGGGGTTTCTTGGTCGGTAGGTGATGGGGCTTTTGCGACCGGCCCCCCGGTGGTGCTGGAAGGTTCGCGGCTCGGAGTGACGGCAGCGGCGGTCTCTGAAGGGGCGTTTGCATGGGTTCCAGCTGGCCCGTTTTCCTCGATGTGTGGAAGCGTCGAAGTTATGGCAACGCCGCCATGATCGGCGGCAGCGTCACCGGCAGCGTCTGCAGAGACTTTCTTGGCATCATAGCGAGACAAGTCGAGTGTTATGTCGGGCTTCAACGTACCCCCAAGTATAGACTCTCGGGCGACCTGCGTCGACGGGGCTGCCTTGGCTCGCGGGGCGCGCGGCCAGGAGCCATACCAGCTCTTTGTCTTTTTCACTTGCTTGGGCATGGGCTGCGACGCATCGCTGTTGATGGAAGAGCGTTTGTCGGACGCCTGCGCTTCCATTGCTGGCTTCTGCGTTGGTGCCGAGGGTATCGGAAGGTTTGGAGACGATGCGGCCGCCTCGGGCCCGGGCAGTAGTCGCGCGTGCGTGTCTTCTGGATCTGGCCGAGGAAGGGGGAGGCTGATCGTGCTTGATGCGCCGGCACCATCACTGGGGTTCGGCCGCGCTCGCTTCCGGGGGCCCATGACGAGCGAGAGTGCGAACATGTCGGTCGGCGGATGGAAACGGAGTTGGAGAACCTCAGCTGTGACGCCGCTGTGCGCCCAGGCTTAGTAGTGAAAGCTCAAGGTGTCGTCATTGCCAGAGTGGTGGGACTGGGCTGGATTTGCGCCTGCCTGTCTTCCCTGACGTGCGTGGATTTAAGGGACCCGACGTGCTGGGGGTAGTACGTTTGTTGCTGCATTAAGAAAGAGTCTGGATGGCCGGAATGGAGCGCCGTTGAATAAAGAGCTGCCTGCGAGCCTACGTTCCAGCCTCGGGCCAGTCGATGTGCTGGCGTTGGGGAATTCAAGCGAAGGAGCTTGCTGGCTGCCCGCGCTAACCGGTGCGCGTGGTTGATGGTCAGCGTCATCGAGCCCAAACCTCGGCCCCTGCCAGCGACCTCCCCCCGCGTATCCGCACTAAGCTCAGTGCTCACACGCTGTCGGAGCTGAGGTGGCCCACTGGCAATTAGTCCAATTGCATGTGAGCTGGTGGGTCGCATCGCTAATGTGGATCTGTGGGCCCGTACCGTTCCCGCTGGCGTTATCTTATCGCCAGCCTAGGCCTTCCGCGGTCAAGGGTGCCCCGCTAATATTTTTTTTTCTGTCGCCGCTGAGAGCTCTGCGACCAAAGTTCTCAGGGACCCTCTTGAATCGGCCATTGAACAAGACTGGCTGTGGTCAAAGCCGAGCTGAATTGTCGCCAATATGGCCTCCTTAAAGCGCAAAGATGCGCCTGAGAACAGGTCTTCCCAGGCAACACCAGCCAAGAGGGTCTCGGGCGAGCCCCCGTCTAAACGCGCCAAGTCGCAGGCGGCTTCCAATTCCAAAGACAAGACGGCGCCGGCCCAGGACGATAAAACCACCAGCCATGCCAACGCGCCACCCGTTATCTCCCGCCTCAAGGAGGACGAGCCCATGTTCCCTCGGGGTGGCGGCAGTGTCCTCTCCCCGCTCGAGCACAAGCAGATCCAGATCCAGGCCAAGAAGGATGTGCTGTTCGAGCAAGAGTCCGGTGCCCAGGCGCGCAAGCCCGGCCAGCCCACCAAGAAAAAGATAAAAACGACAAAGCCCAAAGCGGGCGCGACCTCATATACGGCGAAGGACCCGGACGCTGTAAAGGTGGAGAGCTTGAATTTCAAGGTGCGCACGACTCCGGCCGCCCCTTTCTCCCAGCCCTGTGTTGACACCCCGTTCATTTGGACCCTGGCTGACCCTACAAACAGAGACTCGTCAAGGGATCGCTCGTCCTCGGGCAGGTTAGCAAGATCGGCCCCCTCGAGCTGGAGCTGTCTCTTCCCAACAACCTCGTTGGCCACGTACCTATTACAGCTGTTTCGGAGCACCTCACCAAAAAGCTCGAGTCCGATGCCGCGACTAGCGAAGAGGAGCAGGACGACGCCGACGACGGGGGGGACAGCGACCTTACAGCGCTCTTTTCAGTCGGCCAGTTTGTCCGTGCCTATGTAACCTCGACCGTTGATGATTCTGGCTCGGCATCAGCCAAGGCCAAGCGCCGCATCGAACTTTCACTCTATCCAGAACTCGCAAACTTGGGCCTTGGCGAGTCTGATATCGTCGAAAACAGCACTGTGGCAGGCTCTATTCTTAGCGTTGAAGACCACGGTTATGTTGTCTCGCTCGGCATCCAGGACTCCCAACTCCGCGGCTTTCTGCCCAAAAAGGAGGTGGACTCCAACATCCCCTCAACCCGCCTGGTACCAGGCTGTGTCCATATGTTTCTTGTCTCCGGGAGGCGTGCCAGCGGGACGGTTTCTCGGCTCTCGCTGCTCTCAAGCAACCTCGGCAACCTCAAACTCTACCCGGCCAGCGCGAAGACTATCAACACGTTCCTACCAGGTACCGCCGTCGAGGTACTAGTGTCCGATGTGTCTTCGAGGAGCCTCGCCGGCAAGGTCATTGGTCACCTCGATGTCACCGCCGACGTCATCCATTCTGGGTGCGGTCCCGACGGACTGGACTTGGAGAAAACCTACAAAGTGGGATCCAAGATCAAGGCCAGGATAATATGCACCTTCCCCGCTGCAGACAGTCCGAAACTTGGCATCAGCTTGCTTCCCCATGTCACCGGTCTCAAGCCAAAACTCGTCGCTGTCCAAGGAAAGGAAGACGCCCACCCCCTGACAATTCTTCCAAGTTCCTCCATGGTGGAGGAGTGCGTTGTGCGCAAGGTGGAGCCGGGCATTGGGCTCTTCGTTGATGTCGGCGTTGAAGGTGTCCCCGGCTTCGTGCACATCTCTCGGGTCAAGGATGGGAAGGTCGATGCCCTGTACGAATCCAGCGGCCCTTACAAGACCGGCTCAACCCACCGCAGCAGAGTGATTGGCTACAGCGCCCTAGATGGCGTATTCCTCGTGTCTCTCGAGAAGAGCGTGCTTGAACGGCCGTATCTACGTATCGAGGATGTGCCGGTCGGTGATGTCGTCACTGTCACGATCGAGAAGTTGGTCGTGAAGGAGGATGGAGTGAGTGGTCTGATCGTCCGACTCGCCGAGGGAATCACGGGATTCGTTCCAGAGATGCACCTGGCCGACGTGCGACTGCAGCACCCCGAGAAGAAGTTCAAGGAGGGGCTCAAAGTCAAGGCTCGAGTGCTATCCGCCGACTCCGCCAAGCACCAGCTGCGTCTGACACTGAAGAAGACGCTGCTCAACTCCGAGACGAAACCGATCAAGGCCTTTGACGAGGTTTCCGTCGGACAGCAGTTTCCCGGCACCATCGTCAAGATCATGCCCATCGGGGCCTTTGTGCAGTTCTACGGGGCTCTGAGAGGTTTCATGCCCATTTCGGAGATGAGCGAGGCGTACATCCGGGACCCCAACGAGCACTTTCGCGTTGGCCAGGTTGTAAATGTCCACGTGGTCGAGGTTGACCCTGCCGCCCACCGCCTCATCGTCTCGTGCAAGGACCCTGCGGCTTTTGGTATGGAGAAGCGGCTGGCCCTACAGGCGCTTAAGCTCGGCCAGCTGGTTTCCGCAAAGGTCGCGCAGAAGTCCGAGGACGAGATCTCCTTAGAGCTCGTTGGCAGCTTGCTCAAGGCGGTGCTGCGATGCAGCCACATGACTGACAAGTCAGCCTCCAAGAACCAGTCGGCACTGAACAAGATACGTGTTGGTCAGACCCTCGATGGCTTGGTGGTGCTTGAGAAAGATGAGGACCGGCGGGCTGTCGTATTGTCGCTGAAGCCTAGCCTTGTCAAGGCAAGCAAGGACGGGCGGCTACTCACCGCGCTGCAGGACGCCAAGGTTGGGTCACTGGTCCAGGGATTTATCCGGAACATCACAGCTACCGCCGTATTCGTGCAGTTTGCCGGCAACCTCACTGCCCTGCTGCCACGATCACTGATGACTGCGGGAATGCAAGCGCAGGAGGGCTTCGGCCTCCGTTTGAGTCAACCCATCCTCGTCAAGGTGCACTCGGTCGACGACAAGCGTTTAGTGGTCGCCATGCCCGATGCGGAACCGCCAAGCAAGACCGACAAGCCATCGTCGGCATCCAAGCCTATCGCCAACGCCATTGACCCCACCATTAACTCGACGGACGATATCACTGTGGGCAAGATCACCAAGGCCAGGATTTCCTCGGTCAAAAAGACACAACTCAACGTGTCTCTCGGCGACAACATCCAGGGGCGTGTTGACGTCTCTGAGGTGTTCGACTCATGGGACGAGATCGAGGACCCCAAGGATCCGCTCCAAAAGTTTGCCGCCAACCAGATAATAGACGTGCGCGTCATCGGCGTTCATGACGCACGCAACTACCGCTTCCTACCCTTCTCGCACCGCACCGCGCACTCGGTACTGGAGCTCACAGCCAAGCCGAGTAGCCTTCGTGAGACTGCGCGCGGCTACAAGCCACTAGCGCTAGAGGATATCAAGCCAGACTCCAACTGGCTCTCGTTTGTGAACAATAACGATGGCAACTGCCTTTGGGTGAACCTGTCGCCTGCCGTCCGCGGGAGAATCCGCGCGGCCGAGGTGTCAGACGACAGCTCCCTGAGCAAGGACCTGCGGCAGCACTTCCCCGTCGGGTCGGCCCTCCGCACGAGGGTGGTAACTGTCAAGTCGGAAAACGGCCATCTTGACCTCTCGGCGCGGTCGGCGCGCCCCAACGAACGCCTGACGTGGGACGAGCTGGAAAAGGACACGGTGATGCACGCTAGGGTGACCAAGGTGAACGACCGTCAAGTCCTGATACAGATCAGCGATTCTGTGTCCGGGCCAGTGCACATGGTGGACCTCAGCGACGACTACGATCAAGCCAACCCGCTCAGATATTCCAAAAACGACATCATCCGCGTCGCCGTCGTCAGCGTCGACAGGAGCAATAAAAAGGTCAGGCTCTCGGCCAGGGAATCACGCGTGCTGAACTCGGCACTTCCGGTGAAGGACCGTGAGATCACCGCCGTCTCCCAGATCGAGGTTGGCAGCATCATCCGCGGCTTTGTCAAAAACGTGTCAGACAAGGGGCTTTTCGTCACTCTTGGTGGCGTGGACGCCTTCGTCCGGATTGCGGACCTCTCGGACGCATATCTGAAGGAGTGGAAAGACCATTTCCAGGTGGACCAGCTCGTCAAGGGCCGAGTCTTGGCAGTCAACCCCGCGACCGGCCAGGTGCAGATGAGCCTCAAGGCCTCGGCGGTTGACGAAGACTACAAGCCCCTGCCCGGGTTTGCCGACTTCAAGAAGGGACAGGTCGTTACCGGAAAGGTGCGCAAGGTTGCCGATTTTGGCGCCTTCATCCTGGTAGACAAGTCGGCCAACGTCAGCGGCCTCTGCCACAGGACCGAGATGGCAGACAAGCCCGTCAAGGATGCGACCAGATTGTACAAGGAGGGCGACAGCGTCAAGGCGATTGTTCTGGGCGTTGACGCGGGAAAGAGGAAAATCACGCTGGGCCTGAAGCCATCATACTTTGAAGATGCCGATTCTGACGAGGACATGGACGGTGACGACGACGATGAAGAAGACCTTGCTTCTGACGATTCCGGAGACTCGGGTTCCGAGGACGAGGACATGGAGGACGCCGATAGCGTTGTCCTCTTCACTGGTGGTGAGGGTGTGTCTCTGGATGAAGATGGGTCGGACGACGAAGGCGACGACACATCCATGGCCGATGCCGAGGACGGCGATGCCCCTCTGCCGGGGCTTGACGCTGGCGGGTTCGACTGGTCCGGTGGCGGGCTGGACGAGGCAGTCAACGAGGCGGACGACTCGGGCGCCGTAGCCAAGAAGAGCAAGAAACGGAAGAAGGTGGAGGTTGAGGTGGATAGGACAGGCGACCTGGACGCGAAGGGACCGCAGGCCGCCAGCGATTTTGAAAGGCTCCTGCTCGGACAGCCAAACTCATCTTCGCTCTGGATTGCATACGTGGCTTTCCAGATGCAGGTGAGCGAGCTGTCCAAGGCGCGCGAGATCGCCGAGAGGGCCATCAACACCATCAACGTGCGCGAGGAGACAGAAAAGCTCAACGTTTGGATCGCGTACCTCAACCTCGAGGTGGCATACGGAACCGACGAGACTCTCAACGAGGTCTTCAGGCGGGCCTGCCAGTACAACGACGAACAGGAGGTCTACGAGCGGCTGACGAGCATTTGCATCCAGTCGGGCAAGAACGACGTGAGTCTTTCCTCTTGGTTCCATTTTTTCCCTTCAAGGTACTTTTGAAGTTTTACTGACCAGCTGATGGCATGCACCGCGATATAGAAGGTCGATGAGCTGTTTCAGACAATGGTCAAGAAGTTTGGCAGCAAGTCACCCGACGTGTGGCTCAACTATGCACACTTCCTCTACACTTTAGGAGGCTCTGCGGAGCGCGGGCGAGCTCTACTCCCACGGGCACTCAAATCACTAGACAGCCGGGCGCACCTGACGCTGACGAGCAAGTTCGCGGCCCTCGAGTTCAGGTGTGCAGGCGGCGAGCCTGAGCGTGGGCGGACCGTGTTCGAGGGCCTGCTAGCAACCTACCCCAAACGATTCGATCTGTGGAATCAGCTTCTGGATCTGGAGACGTCGGCAGCAGACAAGGATGCCAACGTGGTGCGGGACGTGTTTGAGCGCGGCACAAAGGTCAAGGGCCTCAAGCCGCGGCAGGCCAAGGCGTGGTTCCAGCGATGGGCCAAGTGGGAAGAGGCCAACGGCGATGCGAAGAGTCGGGAAAAGGTCACTGCCAAGGCAAAGGGGTGGGCCAGCTCGGCGGAAGCAAGAAAGGCCGAGATGACAGCGCAGCAGGAGGCCGAGGAGTAGTTGCCGATAAAGGCAAAGGACCCTGGGCATCTGACCGGTCAGGCATGGCAAAGCGGTGCCCGTACATAGATGCGAAATAATCACACGGTTACAAGAGCAGCGCGAGAGCTAGTGTCGGACTAGTGGGCTGAACTAATCATGTGGCAGCGCTGGTATCTCTCCTGTGGATAAGGGGTCGAGGGGAGTCCCCTGGACGTGATGTGACGTGACGGCCCGGCGGAGGTTGCGAGTAGAAATGTACATGATATGTGTGCGCTGATATATACCCCTAACTGCCTAACTGTCTACCCGCCTCCCCAGGCATTTGTATCCGACCTTGTTGCGAGGCACATGTCTGCTGGTTTTTACACGTGCCCACAGAGGGTCAATCCTGACCAAGGGGCTGGGACGGTGCGAAAAGGAGGCGGGATGCACGGGGCGGGCGTCGACTTGTTTTGCCGAGGGCATGCCCGACATCACGCTTTTTTTTTTTTTTGCGCAATCCGCCTGCTTGTAATGTTTCTGGGTACCTACCTACCTACATACATCTAGACAGCCGGCACATATGTGCCGGTGCTTGTATGCCTAGGTTGGGCAATTACACCCCCTTTTTTTTTATTCCAACTCGGCCGGCTCGGCCTGCCCAAGCCGAGGTCTGGGGAGGGAAGCAAACCCGTCTGTGACTCGGCTTAGTCCCGATACTGTCTCAGGTTCCTAAGATCCACGCCAACCCCAGGTCGGTCGGTGCAAGCCAACTCGGTCACGCATGGGTGCCGGACGCATGTGTGCTGGCCATGGCGTGTCGTAAGACGGAGCGGCCCGGCCACATCGCAATCAAGCTAAAGCATGACGCACACATAACGGCAGGGCCGATATCGGTTGATCCTTCTTCCTGTCTTTTTTCTTCTCTTCTTTTCCTCGGTGCGCATCAGAGCAGGGATAGAGCAGGGATATCGGGTCCATCCGGGTGCCACCTGAACCCATAAAAGAAAAAGAAAAAAATCTTGTCGACCCCAACCCAGCCCCCATGCACTTGTGGAGTGATGGCTAGTCCAGCTAGACCCTAAAGGCCGGCAAGACCGGTACTTCTGGGCATGTACGGCAGATATGGGGTAGATGAGCGGCCACAAGACTTTTCCAAGAAAATGCAATTACAATTCTAGCAGGCGTGAGGCGAGCCCAGGAGACAGAAAAAAAAGTAGTAAAACGCCAAATCTCAAGGACATCTGCTGCAGAGCATGATATTGGGTTCCCAGTTCGCCATTCCGCTAACATGACGCAAATACACAAACCCTAGAAAACAAAATCCAAAATGCTGATAAATGCTGTTTGACACCGATAACGATAAGAGAAAGAGAAAGAAGATGGCAAAAAACAATGCAAGATGCCGTGTGGCATGATATGCAGATTTATCCCGACCCGTCACATAGCAGCAATGGCAACCCATCTGACGGGAACACCATCCGGTCCAACTTGGTATGGTGTGGTGCTGGTCCTTCGCGCAGGCAGCGCCCATCGTGCCCGACCAGGCCGCTGGTCATCCAGCTTCCCCCTCTTTCGCATGGCCATCTCCATGACGGCAATGCGGATGAAGTCCGAGTTTTCGCGCATCTCACGTTGGCGGCCCGGAATGGCCAACGGGGCTGTTGGGGCGGCCGAGGCAGAGTCCGATGAGCCAGGTGGTACGGCATCGGTCGGGGCCTCCGGGCCCGCGGCTCCCTCGGTCGAATCTTGCACAGGAGGCTGGCCAAGTTGCGGGCTGGGGTGAGGAATTCCGGCCGGCGAAGCTGTATCAGCACTGGGCCGAACGCGTCGTACTTTGTAGGTCTGCATCTGGATCGATGCGGTGAAGGACGAGCGGGCAGCGGGGGGTGCTGAGGGCGGGCGCGACTCTATACGTGCACTTGTGATCGGGTTGAGGTATCGGCGGAGGGCAGCGCTGGGCTCTTCGTCGAGCTGTGGCGGCCTGCGCTCGTCGGTGAAGGGTACACGCGGGTCGATAGTCAGTATCGACCGAGTCAGGAAGTCCTCGGGCGGGATTGAGGCCTGCCCAAGTGTCGAGATGGAGCGGGCCGCGTTTTTCAGCGCCCGGAGAGAAGCTGTGAGGTTGCTCTTGAAAGCCGACTTGAGCGGTTGCAAGGGCAAGGCCATGTCGAAGCCTCGCCACTCGCCCGAGGGAGCGGGCGAGGAGCCGAAGACGCGGAAATCGAGTTCGTCAACAGGGGCGACTGACACGGCGGGGCACTTTGCGGCTAGAGGGTGGTCGTCGGAGGCGGCACTCCCGGAGGGCGGCGAGACCGGCTCGAGCCGGCGACGCAACGGGCCATGAGAGCTCCTCCGGCGAGACGAGGTGGAGCGGCACGATGGTGTATAAGGCGATGGGGGTGTGGCGGGAGTGCGTGGGGAGGCGATTTGGGACTGGCTGCTGAGGGAGGCAAACGAGTCGCCGAGTGATAGGAAGGATTCGACCGAAACGGTGTGGCCAGACAGGTTGGTGCTGTGGGTGCTCCCAGCAACCGACGAGGCGTCGTCGTCGAAGTCGGTGGCGAAAGGGGCAGAGTCCGAGTCCTGGCCCTTGTCCGAGGTGCCGAGCAGGAGGCCCATAGGATCGCCCGATAGGCTCAAGCTGATCTCTTTCTCGGCCCTCTGCGCGCGCTGCATGATGGCACCAACGGTCATCGAGTCATCATGAGGCACGCGTTGGCGGGCGACTCCCACAGCCAGGCCCGAGGACCTCTGGAGCCTGGAGCGAGGGATGCTCGTGACGGCTAGGAGGGCGGCAACCGAAGGCGGGATAACGTCGGGGCTGTGGTTGTCGCGGCGGGCGGCGGGTTGGTGCTGATGCTGGTGGTGGTTGTAGCGCTTCTTCGCTTCGCGCTGCTGGTGGCGGGTCGAGGGAATGCAGACGGGGCTCGTGGTGCTCTGTGGAGGGCTTGAGCAGTGGCTCGTCAAGGGACTGACGGCTGCGGGAGTCGAGACAACGACAGACCCGGCGCCGGGGCCGAGCCTCGGGCGAGGCCTCACAGTCATTGTGTGGTGAGAGGTTGTAGAGTCGGCAGGCGACGTGGGGATAGTAGTGGCAGTGGTGATTTTACTGCCACAGCCGCTGGTGTTACGGTCAGTGCAGTCGGATTCATCCTTCGGGGTCGCTGGCGAGGAGTCCCAGGGGCGGGATCCGGCGAGAGACGGGGCGAAGGGGCTCTGCTGGTGCGGATGTTGCTGGACCTGTGGCGGCTGCTGCTGCGGCTGGGCCGAGCTGGCGCGGGTGTTTGTGGGGTTTGTGGCGGTAGTGGTGATGGTGGCAGCGGTGCTGTCGTCGGCGGTCTTCTGCGGCCGGGTGGTGGTGGGCTTGTTGGCTTTGGCAAAAAGAAGGAGGCCCCTCGGAGACAACATTTTGTCCTGGACAAGGAGAAGGGCAGCGGACCCTTGTTGCGCGGGTCACGTGCAGGGGCATGGTGGACTTGTTGAGGCGATGCAGGGTGCCAGGGGGCAGGCGATCCAGGGACCGACCGACAGGAAACAGGTGATTTCGCGCCTGACTAGGCGGGACCCTAGTTTTTGGCGCACGGCGCACAGTAACGCGCAGCCAAGGATCAATCACTGGTGAGGCATCAACGGACGATCAGATTGGGCGGGCGGTGTGCGGCGCTGTGTTGTGTCCTGTGATGGCCTAAGCAAAGGCAGCCAAGGTCGTTTTTAGCTGGGCACGCATGCGCCAGCACCGAGTCGGGTAGGCATGCAGCTGTGTCGTGTCTTTGTGGGGGTCTCAAGCCGTCAGAGGTGGGATGGCATGGATGGGAATTCCGATGGGTCTCGGCGGCCCACGATGCAGAAGCAGCGCTCGCGTGCCGTCTGGTCTGGTCGGCTGCAGCGTCTTTGTGCAGGTGAGAAACGGGGAGAGGAGACAAAGGCAGAAAGAGGATGAGAGGAAAAGGAGGGGGAAACAAAATGCTGATCAGGAAGGAGGGAGTCAAGGCGGATGGGCAGGAGCCAGCCGTCAGATAGGGTGGCTGTTGTCCGAGACAGCCGGCTCACCTCGAGGAGGCGGGCAGGCACCACCCACACCCCCAATTAGGTTATCTCTCGACGTCCTAGCCTCTGAGTCTGAGTAACCGGGCAGGTGCCCGCTGCCCTGTCGTGCCTGCCTCGCCCAGCGCAAGCACAAGAGATAAGGGGTCTCTGGCTCCGTCATCCAGTCAGGGCTGGCCGCTGCCGTCATGCTGTCCCACTCCCATCCCAACCAGGCCCCCTAGTCAGTCCCAGCTTGGGGGGCAACCCACCACGGGCTGCAGTCAATCATGGGCTAGTGGGTGCCAGGAACTCGTGCCCAAATCCCTTATCTCGGGTGCCGTCCCACGTGCCAGAGAAGGCCGGCAGCCAGTCAAGCAGGCAGGTTTTGGTCAGCAAGACAACGCGCCGAGGAGATGCGTCGCACACGACCAAGACCTGTGATGGAACGTCAGCGCCTGCTGCCAGCCCGGGAAAACAGGCCAAGCACCCAACGTGAGGGCTTGCCCCCACCCACCCGTCGGGATTTCCACGGCAATCTGGGATTGTCATCTGGCTTGCCGATTGCCTGCAGCCGATAGCCCAAGATACTACCCGAAGTAGCACGTACCCCGCGTGTGCGTCGGTCGGTCTTCCATACGCCCGGTTATCCTGCCTAAAAAGGTACCTCCAACCTACCCAAGCCCACCTTATCTTTTGCTCGCACAATAGACCACGACTCGCGCTGCGTCTGCCCAAGCATGTTCCTTCACGAGAGCAAGAGAAAAATGGCGCGTGCAGCCTCCACAATAACAATCGTCGGAACACCCAGAGTATACTTCTCAAGGACACAGGGAGCAAGCAGCAAGCATACACGCACTGGAAGGAAAACATGAAGCATGATATCACACAGCCAACAGAAAGGATGCAATGTCGCTGTTCGCCCTTGGCAATTAGCCTTGACTCGGCCCCATGGGGTTGGGTCGGCACGCTCCACCTGCCCGCGCTGGTCTAGCGCTGCGCTATATGCAAATCGTGGCCCACAAGCGACGGAGCTGAGGTGTTTTCTCAAGATTTCTTGATTGACGTTGGGGGAAGCCGAGACGCCTGTCGTGTAACCTTGGATATTGACTAGGGATGAGCAAAAAAGGAGACAGGAAGGACAAGGAAAGAAACACCCGCATATCGACAAGAATCCCGACAGCCTGCCCGCTCGCTCAGAAGAAGCGTGGCCCGCTCGCCTTGTCCGGTCCTGGCATCGCCGGCGAGGCGTGGACAAGCCCGAAGCGGCGATCTCCATAGCGAGACATGCGCTCCTCGGCGTAGTTGCGCCGGGGCTGCTGTCGCTTCGTCTGTTGCTGCCGCCGCTGCTCCCCGACGGCGCCGCCCATCATAGGCGCCGCCCCAGGTCCGCCTGTGCCCCTCCCAGCGCCGCCGCTGCTGCCAAGCGCTGCTCGCGCCAGCTCCATTTCCTTGACCAGTCGGTCGATCTCGCGCTGCACGTCACTGACCCGCATCGTGCTGTCCCCGCCGCCGCCACTAGCGTTGCTGTTGCTGTTGCTGTTGCTGTTGCTCGTCATCGTTTGCTGCTCCTTCTCCCCCCGAGACCCCTGAGGCTCCCTCACCACCACAACCACCGGCCTCCCTACTCCGCGCCCTCCCCTGCCGCCTTGCGTTGCCGTGGTTGGCTGTCCCATTTCCACGTCGGCTGCCCGCCCGGCCATGGGTAGCCACCCGCCCCGACCCCGGCCCCTGCCTCGAAGCAGCGGCCGCAGAGCCGGGGCCGACGCCGTGACGAGCGCCAGGTTCGTCTCGATGGCCGACGTCACGAAACCGATGTCGCCCGTGCGCCCGGCGGCCGACAGCCCGAACAGGCCGCGCACTAGGATCACCAGCCGGGCGACGGACGTGATGGTGACGAGGAAGCCGAGCAGGAACACGCCCAGCAGCGCCAGCTTGGTCCGCCGCGGGATCTGGAGCCCCGACAGGATCCACAGCGGCAGGCCCAGCACCACCAGGTCCGTGGCTATGTTGAAGGTCGCCATGGCCGTGAAGAGCACCGCCCGGTCGACGCACCGCCCGCCCCTGCTGCTGCTGCTGCCCGGGTTCCACGCGAGCGACACGGGCGTGCACTGGAACGTGATGGCCCCCAGCGACGCCGCCATGTGCAGCAGGTTGACCGCGTTGAGCCAGTGTATCAGCCGCCGCGTCCCGTTCTGCTGCCCAAACAGCCGCAGCAGGAAGATGAGCACCGACGACTTTGCCAGGGCCAGGATCGGGTTGTAGAACACCTGCACCAAGTAATTCCACACCTCGCCTGCCACCGGGTCGTGCGGCGGTACATTCTCTGGACGTATTCCCACGTAGTTGGTTTTGATGACTGATTTGTTGTTTTGCATGTTTACGACATGCATCGTCGTTAGCTCCACGTGCCTGTAAGGCGCCCTCAGGACTTGCTCGCTGCAGGTAACATTTTAACAGTACTGACAAAAGTAGCTGAAGATGGTCTCCAATACCGAAAGGAACTTGGTTTATGACGACTGTTAGCGCACAGAGAGCAACACCCATGGCCTTGATCGGGGACTGGACTCTGAGGTTTAGCGGTAGCCAGGAGGGTGGTGGTCTCCTTACCATGGCGACCGATATTAGCCAGTCGTCGAGCCCGAATTGGCGTGTTCTTATCCTCCCGACGGCCCTGAGCACGATGATGACGAGCGCGAGCGCTGCGAAGACGAATATGATGGCAATTGCCAGCCTCTGCAGGCCGCTGGTGGCCTCTGGTGGATTCACGAGGGAGTCCATGCTCTCCCCACACGCTCTATTGTCTGACTATGTCTTTAGGCCTGGCTTGGAACAGAGAGGTCGATTCCCGGTGGTTTGAGCGGGTGTTGCAGCAGGAGAGGTCACTCACTCATGAGAGACGGCCTCGCGTCAAGAGTCGCAGGGAAAAGCCTATGTTGTAGGAAGAAAACGAATGGATACAACTGACGATAATGGCAGCTGGGGAGAAGGTTGTAGAAAGAAGCGGAAAGATGGACATGATCTAGCTGGACAGATCGATCCTTCATCCACCGCTATCACTCACATCCCTCGCACCACCCGCCCGCGTGGCAAATCGCCGCCCATACTCGGCCACGGCTCGCAACGATAGACACGGCAGCAGGGAGTCCCTCGGGCGCCTGCCGGTTAAAAACACCATCGTCTCGTGTCGCGGGCTCGAGGCCGCCCCGTGGCAATGCAATGCATGCGCCTGAGTAGACGGGCCCGCGGTGGCGACGGCAAGGTCGACGGTTGCAGGCCCTGACAAACGGGAACAGAGGAATCCAGCCGGGCGAGCAGGACGGCACAGGCAGTGTGGCATCCATGGACCAGAAGAGAATTCTCAGACAGCCGGCTCGGCAGCCAACACGAAACTGAACCCTTGAAACGCTGCCAGAACGGCGCGCGCCCAAGCGGCGACGGGTCAAATGCCGGCCCGCCGATCAGAAAAAAATAGGCAAATATCAAAAGCTTGTACGTGTGCTGTCATCTTAGTGCCCGTTTCTTTGCCTCTTATTTCGATTTTTGTTTTTTCATAGCCTCGTCTGCGTCAAAGGGCTGGCCCCTTTACAACAGGATTGGAAAGGATGAGACGGGTGCGGTAAACGGCGGTCTATTCCTTGTTCGTAAGAAGGGAGAAACAAAATAGGAAAAGAAAAACAGGCAAATGCAACACCACATGAAGCGCAGCCTCCCTGCAGGCAGGGAGAACATAGCCCCACGGATAGCCCCATGGGCCATAGAGTCGGAAGACCTCCAAAGGGTCTGCGAACGGGATGTCTCAAAGAAGATCTCGATGTTAAATGGGCAGGAGAAACCTCAATGGAACTCCGACGGATGTGCGAAACGTGCCCTCAAGATTCCCTATTGAGGGCATCTAGAAGGCAACCGTTTTTTTCTTCTGTTTTATGGGACATACTCCGCCGAATGCACCATCACCACACATTCTCTTGCGCTCGTGCAGCAGGCAATTATGCTGGACGCGCTAGTGAAAAGGACATCCGGCAAGCCGCCTTCAGTCGGGCCAAGGTGGCAGGAACGAGCTGGTCAGGCTACGGAGCAAAGGGGATAGCTTGGCACGCCGGATCGGAGGTCCCTCTTCTGCATGGCAATCACTCCCCGTACACAACATGATCCAGAACCTGACCATCAGCATCAGCCGCAGGCCAACTGGCAGTCTCCCCTCTGACCCCGCACTTTCTCGAGTCCTCATCGCAAGACATTCTTTGTTCTCATTCCCTCAAGCCATTCATCGCGGCGTGGAATGCAATATCCCACCAGCCCCTTTGGCGGAGATGAGTACAGAAAAAGCAAAGGACCAGCGTCTCTGCTCGGTATGCCTACAGCTGGACTTGAGCTCAGGCAAGTTCAGGGTTACACCGGAAAGCATACCGAGTGCTCAGAGTAATGGTTGGGCGCCGGGGCCAAGCAGCACGCCACCTGCAAGCACCATCGGCAATCCTGAACAAGACATTCGCTCCCCGCTCGGCCTGTCTCCCGGGCATAGCAGCAAGCAATTTTCGACTCTGGCCGAGATTGACTCGAGAAAGGATGAATGTTGCTTGTGCGATATCTTGTGGAAGGCCATTGCCGGTGACAGGCCCATCGAGTCTCCGTCGCGCGAGGCCACTCTCAACTTGTCGTGGGAGATTGACGGCCGCTCGCGCTCTGACAGCGGTCAGGTTGTCAATCGATCCAGAAGGATTCGGCTGTCGTGGAGACAGGAATCAGAAGAAGCCCAGGAAGGCCGTCAAGAGAAAAGCGTCTTCCTTGTGTGTGTCGCTCCTCGTACCGCCGGCCCGGCCGAGGCTCGCTTTTTTGGCCGCCCTCGGCTCCCCGATGACGAGAAGCTGGCCCTCATCAGCTCGTGGATTGACACATGTGCCAACACGCACGGCCAAGGCGGTTGCGGAGCAAAGGAGACACGATACGACACGGAGGAGGAGTTCCGCCGGCTCGTCAAAGGCTCCTACTTTGGCGTTATCGACGTCGAGGAGATGCAACTAAAGCCACTGCCCATGATCCGCAAAAAGCCGGCGCCATACGTGGCCCTCAGCTACGTATGGGGGCAGGGGCATTCGGCCCCGTACACGTCCACTAGATCGAATGTTATGGTGCACATCCAAAAGCTCGGGCTTAAAAGCGCATGGCCGAAATTGCCCCAGACCATTCAGGATGCTATCCTTTTGGTTTGGCGGCTGGGAAAGCGCTATCTCTGGATCGATTCTCTCTGCATCGTCCAAGACAGCCTCAGCTCTTGGGAGCTCAATGCCAAATCCATGCACCTGGTGTACGGTCATGCGCATTTCACCATTTGCGCTGCAGACGGAGACGATGCGACCACGGGGTTGAGGGCAGTAAGCCACGCAATCCGGACAGGCGGTAGGCCACCGTGGTTGGCAGGCGACATCCGCCATCTGCCGTTCTCGCCGGGCGACCCCCAGCATACGACCCAAGGTCCAGAAACAGCGACCACGAAGAGCGTGCGCTTTGCAGAAGATTTTCAAGCCTCCGCTTCCGAGATCCCTCTTATTGCGCCGTATAGTCCTGGACTTGGATTACTCGCCTTTAGGGGCCCGGAAAGCGTCATTCAAGGATCGACATGGAGCAGTCGCGGATGGACATACCAGGAACGACTTCTTTCAACGCGATGCTTGATATTCGCCGAAGGCAAGGTCTACTTCCAATGCCGGCGGTCGCTTCAAACTCAGGATATCTTCAACGATACCAACACTAGCAATGGCCAAAGCAAGAAGAGCAAACGAGAATCCAGGCAAAAACACAGGCGAGGCAGCAGGAAGGAGCGCCGAAAAGATGAAGGTGATATCAAGAGCGAAAGCAACATCGAGGCTGATTCCAACAATGGCCAAAGAGCCAATCAGCACACCACGGCTCACGGACCCCATGAGGGCTACGCAGGGGACGACGACGGCTGGTCTCTCAACTCGGCTGACTCACCACTAAAGACACTCGGCGAACTCCGGCGCAGAGCATTCTGGGTCTATATGAAATGTGTCGAGCAATACACGGGGCGCACTCTAACGAAGCCTAAAGACGTGCTGGCAGCCTTTCAGGGCACCTCGTGGCTCCTTCACAAACATATGCGTGCGCCTCTTTTGCATGGCCTTCCCACTTCCCACTTTGACCTCGCCTTATTGTGGATGCCTCTTTCAGCTCTACAGAGACGGAAACCTAGGCGCTGCCCCCGCCGGTTTAAGCTGAGAACAAGAGCTGGACAAAGCACTTCGTCAATCATCCCTTGCTCTCAGGATTCCCTTGGGAATTGCACCTGTAGGCTTGAGCAAGAAGGGTTCGGCAGTAACGAATTCCCCAGCTGGTCGTGGGCGGGCTGGATGGGGGGCAAAGCTGACTATTCGCTCGATATGATCGGCGGTACTTTGCAGAACGTCCAGGAATGGCTGAGGGACCACACCTGGATTTTTTGGTATATACGAGACGAAGAAGGAAACCTCTTACCGCTCTGGGACAGTAGCCATTGCGGTGAGGATACTAGCCATGAGGAGCGCTGGAGGGGCTATAAAGGGAGAGCGGTCAACCTCCAGGATGCTCCAGACCCACGCAGCCGCTCCAAGCATTCCGGAAATATCCGCATGGTATCCAACAAACACTACTTGAAGGGGATCATCCCAGAATACTACAATGTTCAGGATGAGTACTACGACGACTTTAGCGACGAGGACGCAGACAGCAGCGATGAACCAAAAACCCGACGCAGAACCTCACACCGCTCAGACAGGACGGTTTATGGCCGCCACCATCACCGCAGAGTCCCCAAGGCGCACGGCCAGTTCAGCAGGCGCACTACCCATAGGATCAGCAGCAGTAGCAGTAGCAACAGCGGCAGCGGCAGCGGCAGCAGCAGAAGCAGCAGCGAAAGCAACAGTGATGGTATCGAGGAGATAGTGATAAAGAGAAGGTAAAGCCCCGGCGCATCATGATTGCCCCAGGGGCCTTTTTGTCACACTGGAGCGCAGCCGCTGGTGGGTCCTCAACTACAGACGTTTAAAAGTTAATCGAACAAATGATTCTCACAGAAAACCGAAGCCGCACCCTGACCGCCCTCCGCCCCATTCGGTCCCGCCACCCTTTTCTTATGATCAAGGCCCTCCTCCTCCTCCCAGCCGTTATCTCCCTCCTCCCAGCCATTATCCTCCTCCTCCTGGCCATTATCCTCCTCCTCCCAGCTTTTATCCTCGTACTCATCCGGCCTATTATCCCCCACAGAATCATCTTCAAAGTTCCCCTCACCCATACCAGAACCCTGTTGTTAATAACTACAAAGACAGGGACACAGAAAATGTGGACAGCTACGGCCGCCCCATTCGACCTGGGGCGTTGGCAGGAACAGATTTCAGAAGCATCCTGCCCGATCACCCTTTTGGTGTAGGGATCGGAGATTGCCCACCCATCGACGAGAGCCGCCCGATGCGGGTGCTACAGTTCTGGACCTGGCTCACCGAGCTCAAAGTGATCGTCAGGCTTGATCAATGTATCGCCCAAGGTGGTCGCGAACGAGAGGTACCAGAGGAGAGGATTTCAACTGATTTTCGCCAGTCAAGGTCAGCGGAACCGCCAGAGCAGGGAGATGCTTCGCGTCGCGAGTCTGTCGACGAGGGCGGGATCCGGGTGAACGGAAAGGCTGCCGAGGAGAAGGAGAAGGAGGATGAGGCCGAAGTTGGCAACAGCGACGACAACGACCACGACGAAGACGGGACTAGCAGCACGTTTAGTAGGAGCAGCAGCGCCCACACGACCGGCGACAGCAGCAAGGACGGAGCACGCGAAGCAGTTTTGAGGCCGCTGCGGCGCTGCGATATCCTTGACGACGCGAGCGACTGGTGCGGAACCATTACACTCCCGGAACGCTGGGCCAAGGCTCGCAACGGAGTGACGCAGATCTTCATTGCGATCAGCGACGCGAAAAGCCTGACGGAGGAGGAGTGCCCGGTCTGGAACTACTACGTGCCCCGGGAGAGGAGCGAGAGCGAGTGGGACTTGTACTACGTCATGCTGCTCGAGCGCACGGGAGACAGGAGCATGTGGGAGAGACGGGGGCTGGGCAAGGTGTTCAAGCCCGCGTTCAAGGATGCGGAGTGGTCGGAGATCAAGTTGGGTTAGCGATAGGGATTCGCTTCACGATTCCACTTTGCGTAGATCCGCTAGCCACTGTTCCCAATGACTGGGCCATCACGCCATATCCTGCTCGTGCCGTGGTCGGGCGTCCACTTGTTCAAGCCGTTGTTGGAGGCGCTCAAGAGCGACTCCCAGTCCGCCTGGACGAAGTACTGGTAGCGCGGCGGGTCCAGGATGATACCGTCTGGGTTCTCGGAAAGCGCCCACTCCCTGAACCGCCGCTTGAGGTCCGCCGCCGACGCGTTGACGATGGCCGGCTCCTCGACAAAGACCCATTCGAGCCTGCCGGCAGTCTCGGGCGCGTCAGACCATGAGATGGACTCGCAGGTATTGTCCTCGGTCAAGACCTTCAGCGTGTCCCACCCGGCTTCGAACACCACCGAGGGGCAGCCGCATCGGTGGACGACCTAGCCCTATTTGGTATTCTTATCGCTGCTAGGATGCAGCATCGATTGGATTTTCGTTTCTGTGGAGAGGCTACGCCAACGCGGTGGCCGTTGAGGGCTGGGCAGTTGAAGACACTGTGCGGTGGTTGACGGGGCATGCTGAGGGTGATGGCCAGGTGAGGAAATGGAAAAAGGGGGCCAGGAGCCATCGACCGTGTAAGTGCCACGACCTGCTTCCGATTTTTGACCGATTTCCGCCAGGATAGAATGTTGTTCATGACATACCAAAATGCTGCCGCCGTCACTTTGACAAGGCTTGGGTGCCTCGCACTGCACTGCCACGAAGGAGTGCCCGGTACAAAAGCCCTTATGACTGGGCAACTAGTATACATAAACATGGCCCGCTCCACCTCCCTCAGACAGATCCCTTCCTCGCTCGTGCCCAAGTATGCGGGGTTTCCTCCCAACAAGACGCGATCGTTGTTCACCACTGATCAATAACAAGCCGACGGCAGCCATGCTTTGCAGCTCTCTTGGAGCGGCCGAATAGTCTTCTCACAAAATTGTCTCTGAAACTCGTCCTCCTCCCAAGCACGCAGACTGCCGGAGCAGATGGCCAGGCACTGCTCCACGACGGTGAGGTGGTGCGGCGACAGTCACTCCGACGTCATTTCGAGCCAGCGGATCGCGGCCATGTGCCGGCTCTCTAGCCGAGAGGCGTCAACACCCGCCATTCCAACCTTGGCCAACCACATCTCCAGGGGCCGGTGGTGCCAGATCTCGAGGAGGAGAGTCGCGAACTCCAAGAGCACGGCTTTTGGGCTCGATCTTTCAGCTTCCTCGTGCCCTTGCTGCTCCGTCAATAGGGTCGCTTTCCCCTCCCCTTTGATTCCTGCGGCAGTTTGACCATCGTTGCCTAGGGCGGGAGGCTTATCGATATATGGCCCCACGACGTCTGCGTGGGTAGACTGGCGACTGGCTGCTGCTGCAGGTGTGGTAGTGCTTGCGGGCCTTGCTGGGGCGAGAAGCAATTTGATCCCCTGGCTGCTGAATGGCTTGTTGAGCCAGCCGGTTTGGCTCAGCTAAAGGATTAACGAGGCAATATCCAGAGCGATCAGTGTTTGCTGCTTTGGTGTCAACCGCGCGTCCTCATCTCGCACTCCCTCAAGCAGGAACGTTTCCAACGTCGTGCTGCTGAATTACCGACAGCCCCCCCGCGGCGGCAGATGTGCTCCTGGCCCTCAACATGCCGGACAAGAGGTCTAGAGCGAGAACCCGGCTGCTCAGCCGTGCTGTGTGCGCTGATCCACAGACATCCGTGACCAATGCCCTTTTTTTGGGCGGGCAGTTGTAGGCGCGCCGCGTCGAGCTAGATCGTGATTCGCGGGTACGCTCGCCTGCTTGATCGAGCGATGCTAAGAAACAGGGCGTCCTCGAGTTTCTCACGCATCATATCCTCCGATGGCGCAGCCGCTGGCTATCATCCGCAGCCAAAGACCCCTCCATCATGCGGGGTGGTGACACCACAGAGGTAGCGGAGGTAAGCGGGCTTTTAACCGCACTCCAGTCCCGAGCACTTTCCATCGGGTTGTTGAGCTATCTTCTAGTATCAGCCAAGCAGTGGCACTGCGATGACAGTTTGGCTGGCTGGGAGCAAACATGTTGACGGCATCGCGGAAGGTTACTGGCCTCAGAGTCGCTTTTGAGAAATGCCCGGCTCGCCCTTATGTCGAGTTGAGAGTTCCAGACGAGCTCGGATCGGTGGACCAGCTGACGGTAGTCACCGTATCACACGATCAGGGTGAGTTTTGCAGCCTAGTTCCTCTGAGCTACGGCTTCCCTCTGAGCTACGGCTCTTCAGATACCCATGGCCAGTTGCGGCGCTGATTTCGCTGGGGCAATCCTCAGGCTTCAGCCACGAGGAAGAAAGTCTTGGGGGAACCTACGAGGCATCCTGGAGTTGGTTCGCGCTGAGCGTCGTCTCTCCTTCAAACCACGCACGAGCTCCTATCAATGATGTGCAGCGCAACGTTCATGCCAGATTCGAGCCCAAGAGGCACGAAAACGTCTACAAAGCAAGCAGCTCCGACGCCGAAGTGCGCAAGCTTGTGTCATCCATCCGCGGAGGCGACCTTATCCAGTTGATCCCCCGCGCCGCGTTTAATGCCTGGGCCAACTATGTCTACGAAGCGGAGCTCAAGGTCGAAGGCTATGCGGCTACGAGGGTAGACCCTAGCAGCTTGGAGACGCCTGCTGGTCTGTACGCACCGCTCGACAAGCAAACCAAGGAAATTCGCGTCATGGCAATCGACGCCGGAGATTTCGAAGATGCTATCAGCTGCACGCTTCGGACAATACCAATGAGCGACAGCAACCACATCGAATACAATGCTCTGAGCTACTGCTGGGGCAGCGCTGGAGGCAGTCGCTCTATTCAGGTGCGCGTTCCAAAGCAGGCGGCAGGCCAGTTGGGGGCGAGCGACGACGAGGTTTACAATGTTTGCATTACTTGGAACCTTTTTGATGCCATTCGGCACATCCGCCCCAAAAGAGGCGTATATCTTCTTTGGGCGGACTATGTCTGCATCGATCAAAACAATCTCGCAGAGCGAGCCGAACAGGTGGCCATCATGCGCCATATATATTCCGAGGCCTCCCAAGTGCACGTCTGGCTCGGGCCGAGAGTCGAGGTGGGCAGGTGGTCTAGCGAAGACGTGTTTGCGTCGCTGCGGACGGTCCATGAGCGCTTCTTGGGCCGCGGCGTGGATGGGTGCCTCGGCGGGCCGCAGGCGGCGCCACACAAGGACTTTGCTCACACGGATGCCACCGGCCTCGAGATCAAGATCCCCATGGACGACTTCTTCAGCAGTTGGTGGCACAGATGCGATTTTGCTTGGTTTAGGCGCACCTGGGTCCTCCAAGAGGTCTCCAACGCGCGCCGGAAACCCGCAGTCGTGCACTGCGGCCGCGACACTCTCCTGTGGCCCGTCGTCCTGCGCGCCGCCAAGTGCGTCAGGAGGATGATGCACATTATGCCCGACGACAGGCACGGCTTCTCCATGATGCCGGCTATATTCCTGCGCCTGGTTGGAACGCCCGACGGTGACCTCGCGGGCCAGGGCCAGCCACAGAAAATGCCGGGAATCCTCGAGGTGCTCGTGGGCGGGCATGACCTGGAAGCCTCGGACCTGCGAGACAAGATCTTTGCGCTGCTGCAGTTTGGCGCCGAAACCTGGCATGTCGAGGGGCTTCCGCCCTTGGTCCGTCCAGACTACGCCAAAACTACCGTCCAAACGTACGCCGACTTTACCCGCTGGTGGATCATCCAAGCCCGATCGCTCCGTATCCTTTCGGCCGTCCATACCACTCGCTACCGCGGCTGGCAGCAGATGACGGCTGACGATCCGCCCGAGCTTGGCACGGGGCCGGGGCTTGACGACCGCCCGACCTGGTCGTTTTGGCACGGCGGCACGGCGAGCTGGGCCGAGGCGACCTTGGGCCTGTCGCCCGACACCAAGTATAGGGCCGCCGGAGAGACGGTTCCGGATGCGCAGTTGCTTCGCTTGCCCCACCTCCCCGAGACTAGCCAGTCCGGCAGCGCCGCGGCCACCACCGGGCTCCTGCTGCGCGGCCGCAGGGTTTGCACCATCAAGTCCATCGTGCCCTTTCCGGTGCACTTCGGGTACTCGGAGCACCCAGACGACAGGCGCCCCCCGCCCCGCGAGCTTGCCGCGCCCTTCATCAAGCTCTTCGACCCGGTGGGCGCGCGCAGGACGTGGTTGTGGAACAGGGAGGGTTCACAAGGCGGGATGCTGGCGGACCTCGACGTCCGAGGTGGGCACAGCAGGGACGGCGATGCGGCAGAGCACTACAAGCATGCCCGGGATCACGACTTCAGTCCCACATTGGATTGCTGCAGTCCTTGCTACTTTGGCGCGGATCCCGTAGGGCCCGTCGAGGTAGTGGTGGACGACGAGAGCTCCCAGAGAGCCGGCGAGCTGCTCGGCCTCTGCCCCTACATGAGCCGCGCTGGCGACATTGTGGTTGTTCTCGATGGCGGGCCGGTGCCGTATGTGCTGCGGGAGACGGCCAAGGAAGGAAGTTACTATCTGGTTGGAGAGTGTTATCTACGCGGTTTCATGAACGGAGAAGCCTTGCAAGAGCGGGGTGGAAATATGCTGTTTGAGGCCGAGATATTCACGCTAATTTGAGTTTTTGCTTTGCTATTCGTTTCCAATTTCCTCCCTTACAACCCGCGCCTCCTGGCAGCCAGGGCAGATCCGGTTCGAACTTCAACCAGGCTCCCTGCCGCCTCCCCCACCTTCCCCTTACCGAGCCACGCTCCAGGAGACTTTGCAGAGATCCAGAACTTGGTAGATCTCAGCTCGGGAAAGGACGCCTCTCCCCCCTCCGTCTCGGGCTCCGGATCGTCACTGCCCAGGATATGGCCGTCAACCGAGTCGTACCACGACAGGCACGGCAACACATTCGAGTGAAATGCGGCTCAGACGCATAATTGCAGTCCGCAGACTGGCTATTGGCGTCTACCATTCGGGGCGGTACTAAATCGCGTAAACTCCTCCCCTTTGTTGGGAGAAATGGAGTGAGACATTGGGGCCGGCTTCCAATAATAAGAAATGGGTTCGAGCAGCAAGTTGGAAAAGAGACCAATCAAATGCGGGAATGCATGCACTGCGCGTCTGCGCCTCCCAGGCTTAAGCTTGCTGGTTTGACGTCTTGGGGTCCATTTAAACATATCCCTTGGCAGAAGAGAGACTCTGAGGTATATACAGCCATCTCTCGGGACGGATACCGCTTACATCATAGCTTTTTATCATCATCTTCTTCTTCTACTTCTGCTCCCTCTTCCTCACTATCGTACTTGTCCTTGTCCTTTCCTTTTTCTCCTTTGTTTTCCTTTGGCGTTTCTGGACGCTTCTCCTTCCACCTTCCAGCTTCTGCTTTGCTTTCCACTTCAACGCCAAGCAATCTCATCCTTTCGAGCTTCAACCTTTCCCCACCTCCCAGAATGAAGGCCATCATCTTTGTTGTCGTTGCTGTGGTCTTGATTTGGGGTGCGCTTGAAATCTGTGACAAGATCAGGGTTGAAGCTTCCATCGAGGATTTGTTTGCACGGGGGATGCATTTACAGTCGCGCTTGAGATTTACACTACTTGCTAACCATTCGCATTTTAGTCTTCGTCAAACCCGTTTGCGATTGGTACTCGTGCCCTTCTTGCTATCCATCTGACAACTTCCATGCGAATCGCAAACACTGTCCCCAAATCACGAGAGAAAACAACGTCAGAATCGTAGATAATGAATTAAAAGAAACGTTGCTTTTACCCAAGCTGTACTAATGTGTGTTCCATGTTGCCTTTTACTCCATCTACATCTAGTTGAACGCGTCTATTCCTCGCCGCTCAATCCCAGAAGCCAGCATAAACATGAGGGTGATTGTGTGTGTCGGGTTTCCCATGCCGCGCGGCATGGGGGCTCTAGGGGTTACAGGCAGAGAACGTGAAGAACAAAGTGATTCATGAAGG